TATTAGTAACAGCACACTAAGACCGTTGAGGTTACAGGAAACACTGTCAAAACTTACATTAATCATTACACTGATCTGTGTTTACATTCATTTTAATTTAACTGAGAAATCTGTCATGAAAGTAATGAAATAAAAAAGTTTTTAGGGCAAAACTGTGTAAATTCCTATATATGCAGCTATTGGATCCAAAGTGGACAATCCCTGTTTTAACTCTCAGCAGATGTGCGACAAAGTTGTTATAGTAGTGTGTTACACTGACTGACATGTGTTTCTGTTGTATAGCCTTAAGCCTATGGCTGTAAATGAGGGTTCAATTAATTAAGTGTGGGTCAACACAATACAAACTACAGCTGCAATGACGCTCGAAGAATCAATGTTGGGTAATGTTGCCAGGTTTTTTTTTTTTTTTTCCCTTTATTTGCTTTTGACAAACATTCATTTGTTAGATTAGTTAAAAAAGTTCAGTTAATCTAGCAACTAGGGATAGCTCCTCTCGTCAGTGTCTCCGCAGTAGCTATCTCTAGTGTTAGCTAGCAAAACTGAAGCGAGAAAAGTTAATGGAATTAAAAACAGATGAAAAGTCTTGAGCTTGAAGATGAAGAAATGAATTAATCTCAATCTGGATGAAATTCACAGCTATTCAACACGAAACGTCAACAGCATAATGACGCACATATTTCTGCTCACATGTGTTCCTTCACGCTGATATAGCTGCAAAGCATTATGGTTAATGATTAACTCAGTTACACGACTTACTCATATATATATATATATATATAAATGGACCATCATGCATTTTATTTGTGATATTAGCTTTGCTTATTTTACTATTTTTGGTGGACTATTGTTTTATTGTTTGCTACATCCTGTTCCCCGATCGGCCTCCTCCTGGGTTTACTCAAACACTCATCCAACCTCAAAACCTAAAAAACCCACCCCTCAGGTTAGAGTTCAGCCGCACAGATAAGTCAGGTACTTTCCACGCCGCCTGTCAGATAAGAGGAAGTGTAGGTCAGCGAGGAGGCGTCGGAGATGGTGGAAGACAATAGAGATCATCAGTGTACCTATAGGAGTTAGCTTCTGTGTTTGAGAGTGAGTTAATGCTAATTTCAACTACTGTCAGAGGTCGTCAGAGCCTGAATGTCTCTCAGTTTCATGCACAATTGCTTAAAAATCCCCTCCATTCAACACTAAAGCTGCATTAAGTCATATTTTTGTTAGTGACACTAAATCAAAATAATGAGAATTGTGAATACACCTGCTCTCAGAGGGGGAAGTGTTCAACCGGCTCACACAAGCTGATTGTACACTTCCTGTTTATCGCTAAATGTTGGAGAGGCTGAAGTGGCCGAAGAGCGTCGAACATGTAGCAATCAAAAGACATCCAGACGTTTTCTCAAGAGTCTGTGGACTGAATTGAATATATTCGACATGTGGCCAAAAAGATGACTGCGAGTCCAGGTTCCTCTGTTTCTGCTGAATGTGTAAGTAGTGAGTTGTTTGCCTAAAAGTTAGTCGTAGATGCTGATGTAGTGTAACTAATCGTTAAAAAAATGCCTAATGCAGCTTTATTTTAACGTTGGGGTTAAGACGATAAATGCTAAGCTCATGTGTTCTCATCGAGGGCACATGAAGATGTTGCATGTGCACATGATAGATTCTGGTGCACTTATTTTCTTTTCACTTACAATATTTTGAAATATTAAATTTCATCCGGGTTGATTTATGTCATGATTTGTTTTAAAAATCCATGTAAGCTAATTTATTTCAAGTGTCCTGCATTTATGTTTTTCTAAGCACATTGTTGAATTTCTTGCATAATTGAATTTAGTTGATTTGTTTAGCCAGAACTTTTGTGTTTGTCACATTTTTCTGTGTTGAATGGTGTCGGTAACATAATGTAAACACAAATCTCTATTTTGTTTTCCCAGTCGAGTCTGTTAACTTTTACTGAGCAGTTCATTCCCTAATATTTTGTCACATAAGCAGCCTCACTGATATTCTGTATTGTCAAGATCAGGAATATTCTTCCTGTGTTCATACAAATAATGAATCGACTAAAAAAATACTAATGTAAAATAATATTGCACAGCTGTCGGTCCTATCTGTGCAAATGCAGCCTGGTGACACAAAATCAAAGCTTGCAGCTAACTATTATTATCTTTATATTTGTGTCATGTTAAACCATTTCAGTGTAATATGATAATAAATAGAAAAAAAATAGTAAAGTCTCCCAAAATCCAAAGACATTAGATCGATTAGCATTAGAGTAAATGAGTGACTCTAAAATTGACTGTAGCTTGATGCCAACCCTGTGATGGACCGGGATTGTCTCCTACCGCCCCCCCACAACTGTAAGGCATAAGAAGTAGACGATGGACAATAATTGAATAATCGAAATTGTCCTGCGTAAAGACCTTACACACGCTGTTAAGTTATATGCAGTTATTTTACAAAAGGGCACCAGCGCACAATAATGCGATTGATAAAATATTTTTTCCTCTGATCCAGTGTCCATGTGTAACCAGTGTGTGCCGGTGTCCCGGGGCCTTTTTTTTTTTTTTAGTCCTCTGCCTTTAAAAGGTCTTCACACCTGCTCATTACAGCCTTTGAGGGCCTGTAAGTGCTAGCCGCAGTTAGCGTAGCCTTTGAGCTTGACATTCACCCTTGCTCTTCACTTTTTAACGACCCATCTATAAAAGGTGTTAGCCTTTTAGCGACAGTCACACATAAAACTCCGACTGGCCTTTTTAGTGCAGACGCATGATCAGAGTTTAACACCACTGTTGCCGTGGGGCTAATGGTTTTTTTTAGATTTTCATTACGAGGGGTTAGCATCATTTAGCATAAATGTGCTCATTAATCATTATCACTGTTAATGACATCAATATTACCCCCCCTCCTCATCTCATAAGTGTGTGTGTGTGTGTGTGTGTGTGTGGTGCGTGTGTGTGTGTGTGTTAATGGGAGTTGAGGGTGTTTATTACGCTGATCCTATGCAGACGGACTCTGCTGGACACACCTGCTCTGTGTTGCACTAATAAGGGCAGACTAATAGCTCTGTGCATGCACTGCAGCAGCTCTTTGATTGTGTGTGTATATGCACAAGTTTTATGTGTGTACGGTTAATATGTTTGCTTTGATGGGTCTAGACGAGGGCGAGCAGCAGATTTCTCAGACCTAGACTGTGTTCCGTCTGTTTCCCAGGAGATGGCGACCTCTGACCCTTGTGCAAATGCCCCCCCAACCCCGCCTGAGGAGCCGGAGGCCTCCCCCTCCCCTCGCAAGAAGCGTGGGCGTCGGAAACTAGAGCAAACCCAGAGGAATAAGGGTATATAGCTTTAATGCAAAGTCACATAACTTCAAATCACATGATTATGTTTACACGTACAACAATTTAAATGGAACATGTATTCACCTTTAAGGATACGACATTTCCAATCATCTCATGATGTGTGTTTTCAAACACACTTCTTGTCAGTTTACCTGGAAGCATTACCTGCTAAATAGCTTCCAGATTGCAGTGTTTGAGGGCATTTCTAAAATATGTATGCTGTAGAAAAGTGATGAAGACCATGACTTTACCTCCTCATTAAACCTCTCGTTAAATCTGTACAAATGGGCTATTTCCTGTAACTTTTCTTCTCCTGCAGACGAGCCAGACGACAGAAACTGCGACTCCCCCAAAGAGGTGAGAAGACCAGTTGTAGCCCCCTTTTTAAAAACATTTTTTTTTATTCCCTTCCTAAAATGAACCAGCACACAGGTCTAAGAGTAAAGCAAGTGTATAACGAGGTGTTTGTGTGTCAGTGTGTGCAGGGTGAGACTGGGAGGCTGCGGAGGAGGCCAGTCCCCCGAGTGACTTTCCAGGCTGGCGACCCGTACTACATCAGCAGGAGACAGAGAGACGAGTGGCTCAGCCGCTGGAAGATAGAGGTGGGAGAGAATCAGGTCTCTGTCTGTGTGAATTAATAACAGTAACACAGAGTGAAAATGAAATCAGAATGAAAAGACGCAGAGGAAACACCTCAGTCAGAAACAATCAGGCTGCTGTACTTACTTGTCACGTAAATTAGTGAAATTAGAAATCGCTTTGAGAAATGAGCTCAACCTACTTAGTGTTGTTTGATATCACTAAAAATGTTAACCATATTAAATGTTTGAAGGATATTTTAACTTTATATGCCCTGATTCTGTTAAAGCTCATTTTACGCAAATAAAATAAGACCCCGCGAGCAAGAGTCAAAAACGACTTTCTCGCCAAAACGTACAGTTGTACGCAAAATCTTTGGCAAATTACATTTTGATTGTTTTTAAGTAAATACAAACATAAAACAATCGTGTTAATGACCAGTTGCTTTTTAGTTTAAAGTAACTGTGATCTTTACCAAATCTTTACCTAAGGCTACATCCATTCTAGACTCGAGCAGAGTTTCTGTATGTCATAGTTTTCCAACGTCTCTGTCTCTGCCCGTCCAGACTCAGTATTCAAATCCAACTAAACTTTTCAGCTTTAGCGACCCTACATAAACATAGTAGTGTGGATGTAGCCCAAGCTAATACTCAACAACCCCCTATTTGCCAGCTGTTCAGCGTGGCAGTAATATTATAATATCTTTGTTTGGCAGCCAGTGGCAAAGGAAAGGTTGCTGAGTTGGAGGGAAGGTTTTAATTCAATCTTAACAAATTCTAGATGCAAATGTCCTGAGATTGAAACCGCAAAGAGGCCGGCCTCTGCTACAGGACAATGATCCAAAGCAGATCTCACAATCCTCTCTACGAACTACTTCAAGACACACGAGCTAAAGCTCTTGGAACAGGCCCGACAACAGTGGCTGAAAATCTGTGTGTAGATCTAGAACATGCTGTGGCTGCAAGAGAGACTCATAATAATATAATTTAATAATAATCAAGAAAAGGAAGGATCTGTACATGCCATGATAACTGTTTATTTTTTTTTAAGTTCATGAATTAAAATATAACCGTGCTTTAACATTTGAAGAAAAGCTCGTTTTTTAATGTGTCTTTGCTGCAGAGGTTATATTTTCTTCTTCTCTCCTCATATGTTTGCATACAACCACATGGATCCAATTTACTTGTTTAATCTTGACGACACCAGCGCTCTGCTTAATCTTACGCTGCTGCCCCACCGCTTAACTTGAAGCTACGCCGTCTCTTTCAAGCATTAATACTTAACATATTCTGCATTCATGTAATCTATTCCATGTGAGTTGGCCGACTGAACTAAGAATTCAGAGATTGAACACAGACAGGATATCTACAGGCCACGAAAAATCCCTCAGAAGGTGTTACCAAGTTTAATTGTGGTGATTTGATTTTAAATATCTTTTATGTAATGCTGAATGTTCCTGGAAATAATATGTTATTAATAGTTAATACTAGGCCATGATATCTGGTTTCCATCATATTCTAAGACTTTAGAAGGTTGGGGATTAAACTGCATTCTACGTGATATTGTTTTGTTCTTAAAACTTTGAGGAACAGTGAATTAACGCATTTCATTATTATCACACAAGAAGAATTTCTTTAGATTTAACATTGAACATTAGTTTTTGAGATCTATTCTTCTTCTTTAAGATTCATTAGACGATTCCTCTGGTTCTGGACCTTTTAGCTGAACTTGGTTTGTTGGAACGCAGTTTCTCTCTATTTCTCAAAGGACATTTGTCGGTTTTGGGCAAAATCATTCGGGTCAAACCATGAATATTTGAAATCAAACCAACCACTGACAGGAAATTTCAACATCGTCCTCATTTTTACTTCACACTCACACTGTGTTTTTCAAGTCGTCCTCTGCTCTGCCGAGTGTTTTGTGGTCTTTTAATTTGATTGGCTTTTTTGCTGTGACCTTCATTTAACACCTGACCCAGTAACTATGATGGGAAGTGGCTCTAATCCGTTTATCTGCATTAACAATGGATCGTATCATGTGTAACAGTTCAGTCATGGTGACAAACCCACAAGTGTTTATCACCCAGCCCAGCAGTTCCTCTCAGCTCTAGAGATCATCCTCAAACTCAATGTTTGGCTTCTTTGGCCTAAAACGTTCAGTGTTTTATTCTGCATTTCTTCTTTCTTCTTAGTTCTGATCCACATTAACTCTCAGCTGTTCAAACCACAGCTGTATGGTGGAGACCAAAAAGAGAGAGAAAAGGGATTAAACATTGAACTTCATCAGATAACTGCACAACAATAGAAGAGTGTACATCAGATGTGTCATAACAACTTTAAAAGCTGATAAAACGTGTATTGTGTTCACAGCTAGTTTCACTTTTCCCTCAGTGGGTATATCATCCACAATTACAGGTTTAATTTACTGTAACAGCGCAGTTATCGAGAGAAAATAAGGTGCTGTTACCAGAAGAGGTTGTGTATCTGTATCTGTAGATGCAGTGTGAGTGTGTGTGGACGACATAAAACTGAAGAGACAGGATGCGCTTGTGGTCACGAGCGGGTGAGAGAAAGTTATTCAGGTTGACTGTGAGACAGGTTGGATGAGACACACCGGGATGAGAGCGTAAAGACCACACGGCCGCAGCTTCCTCCTTCTCATGGGTGAATTGGTTGCAGCCGTGTGCTCGTGAGAAATGTGTCAGCAGATTATTTGTTCGAGGAGAGAAAAATACCCAACACATATTTTTATTTAGTCTGATTGATGACACGAAAAACAACAAATCATGCTTAATTGAAGCACGAACGTGAATTCACATGAACTCCCACTGGTCAAAGTGACTCCTGCTTGTCTTCAGACTGTTGCATGTGCATGTGACAGATGGTGAGAGAGAGAGAGAGAGAGAGAGGGAGAGAGAGAGAGAGGTAGGGCATGTGTGACTTCCTGTCAACGCTTTATTATCATGCACTGACTCATCTATTGCTCCGTTGTGTGTTTGGCCTGAGTGTTGTGACAGAAAATGAGACTGAAATGCAGGTTGTTTGAAAGAAGGAAATGAAAAGCCAAAGAAAGGAAGGGATGAAGGATGATTATATCGTATTGATGCGAGTGAGCAACCAGGAGCAAAGAATCTAAACTGTGAGAGGAGTAAAGAAAAGACATCGCAGGTGGGAGGTGGAAGAAGAAACCCAAAGTTACTTCACTCAAACAAAAGTACCAAAACATGAATGTAAAAATATATGAATTGGCTAAATGTACTTGTACATTGGTTTGATCTGGAATATCATATTCTATTATATAAGTGTATCTCGTGTTGTAATCATCTTAAACTGAATGGTAACTACATTAAATCAAGTTGGACAGTATTTCCCCATGAAATATAATGAAGTAAAAGTACAAACACTATAAAACGGACTCAACCGACTCAAGAGCACAACACTTGAGCTAATGAACTTGAAAGTTTTCCAGCGTTACAAGAGGGAAACTTCAGAATAAGAAAAAAGCGGAGGGATGAGGAGATGATGTAAGGAAGAATAAGAGAAAGGAAGCAGGCCAGAAAAAAAATAAAGGAAGGGGGAGATGAGGGAAACGCACAGTGAAAGAGAAATCAATGATGGAGACAGAGGTTAACCAGTTCCAGGTTTCTGTCTCTGTGTGTGTGTGTGTTTTTACTCATTTGTCTCTTGAACTGCAGCCAGCTGTTAACATCTCACTGCAGTCTGAGGAAAACCTGGTCACTGCAAACTCTTTTCCATTTCAGGATAAAAACATGTGGCGTCGTCGTTTTCTCTCTTCGTGTAGAGTTACAGTCTGAGTGGGGGGGGGGTTGTGTGTTGTATATATTAGAGGGTCTGCTTTTTTAATTCTGTCTGTGTCTTAACTTCTTTTCGTGCTGATTGAATTAAGCGAGTCTCACACCGAGCTGTGACCCTGTTTTGACATCGAACCACTCGTGAATGCGGCGTTACGTTAACCTCGACATCTCAGGAATGTAATCGACGATGGCTGACGTACGACTTAACAGACGTGTTTATGTGAATTAGCAACTCGAAGCCACTCCTGCAGCGTTGTGTTTACGTTCAGTAAAAGAAGAGCATTCTGCAACGCTGATAGTTTCACTTCATTGTTTGGTCCAGTCTGTTTACTACCTATACTGCAGCCGGCCACCGGGGACTGATCAAAATGATTTGGCTTCCAGTCTGTGGTTCCACCTCAGGGCTCGTAACTGTCCCGTCTGCAGAAACAGTGATTCGGTTTTAAGATTTAATGCTACGAGCTCAGAGAAATAAAGTTAGCGACTAGCCGGTGAAGAAATTGGACCATTTAGCTGCTGAAAAAGCGAGATTGTTCAGTCAGACTCTGGTGGAGACCAAACGAGAAGCAAAAAAAAATTTTTAGCATCATGAGGCAGTATTATTCAGGAGTTGTGTTATCTGTCCGGTTGCCCCCTGGTGGCCAAAACGGGTGGAGGAGAGTTTACTGGTTTCATGAAAACAATCATTGTGCCTCCGATTCCAAACACTCAGCTCACAGACATGATGTCAGCTTGGCTTTATTTTTCTCTCTGTAACCCAAGAGTCTCATGTGACTCTCTGTACAACTGCATTTCACAGTAATGTGTACGTCTGTGTGTGTGTGTGTGTGTGTGTGTGTGTGTGTGTGTGTGTGTGTGTGTGTGTGTGTGTGTGAATGCAAGGTCCTGACCCTAACACATCCTATTGCCTTGTCAACCATGAGGCTTACGTAACCTTTGACCCCAGCGCATGAACACACCTCTTACACTCATCAGCCCGTAATTCTGTGTGTGTGTGTGTGTGTGTGTGTGTGTGTGTGTGTGTGTGTGTGTGTGTGATGTGATGTGATGTGATGTGGAAGTTCACCTAAACATCTGTTAGGTGAAGAAGCCAGTAAATCACACTCTTCACTGCCGGCCAATCAGCGGAGAGGGAGAGGGTAAGGACGACCTGAGGGTTTGAGTGAAGCTGAGGAGACACAGAGAGGAAAGTGTAGGAGGAGGAGGTGA